AAGAAAATATCAGGGACTCGCTCGAGTATACTCGCACTCGATAACTCTACCTTACTTGATCTTTGATGCTCCAAGGATTCTTACTTGGACTGTGCACCGCTCCGGTGTCTTCAGTAGTACGGGCCTAATACTACTGTCCACACCGCATCAGTACACACCCAAGTCCTCCTCCTAGGATCCCAAATTCCAAGTACTCTACTCTCACCAAGCATAGTCTACTCTCCAGTAGATCTCTCATAGGCCTCTCGCTGCTATCTACCTCCTCTCAAGCATCTCCTAGCAGCAACCCCTAGGCTAAGGCATCACAAATCAGTCCACTCTAGTCTTAATAGAAATACCTAGCCTGCTCTAGCATGCATAACATATCATATCGTCTCATAAACATATAACATAAGGGTATTTTGGGAAATCACCATTCGGGCGCTGGCTGATTGTACACACAGCTCTACTCTGCTCTTTTCAAATTCTTTTACTCTTTTAGAAAACTTTGTTTCACTTTTTGAAAAATTATCTCTCAAATCCTCAGTTTGAGTTCAGATACGCGCGAAGGTGTACCCGAATCCCTCAAACCAAGGCTCTGATACCAACTTGTAACGCCGTAAAATTTCAAATAAATTTTCACATTTTAAAAACACTTTATTTCACACTATTATAAAACTCATTGTTTCATATATTCAAACATAAGTAAAAATCCCAAGATCATAACATATAAATAAAACTCCGTGTGTGTGTACTGATCATGCCGGCGCCTTCCCGCGATCCTCACTAGTACCTGAAACACATAACACAAAACACTGTAAGCATGAAGCTTAGTGAGTTCCCCAAAATACCACATATAACACATATTAGCCACTCAAGTCTATAACTCTTGTGGGCCCTTGGGCCTTAACTCTGTGGACCTTCTGGTCCTAACTCTGTGAACTTTCCGATTCTAACTCTGACATACTCTGATATACACATGGCATAAGTCACATAGAAATAATGCAGTGCAACACATCACATAAATAGCATACAAGATACTTTATCACATAACTCTGGTTACCTACTTAAGGTAAAGTATAGTGAGAAGACTCACCTCGGATGCTCGGTAATATCTCGCTCACGTAAACACTGATCTAGCCTCTGCCTAAACACATAAATGATCATCTCAATAAATAACGGGTCTCCAGGCTAGACTAGATCCTCACATGTCCTCTAAGAAGGGTAAAAGACCATTTTACCCTTCAAACAGTACCCAAGTCCAATTGTTGACCAAATCCTAAAAGTCAACAAAAGTCAACGGTCAAACCTTTGACCAGACTCACCGAGTGCACAATTGTGACTCGGTGAGTTCAGTCATGAACTCAAGTCCTCTAAATCCCCAATGACTCACCGAGTCACTTCCCCAACTCAGTGAGTCACCAACTATGTGGTTCTCGGGGAAACCTACCCCTACTCGTCGAGTCTGTTCTTGGACTCGGCGAGTTCATTCCATGCTTAAACTCAAATGACCTCTTGAGGTCATATCTGTTCCTCTAATCCATAGATCTGACCTTCCCAAGCATGATAATTACGTAAAGTTCAGATCTTGATGCTCATGCAAAGGCCCAAAGGCTTTATTTGGAGAAATAACCTCAAATATGACATCCTAAGCTCATGTATCCTAATATCAATCATAAAGATCAAAGGGTTAAGGTCTATGGACCTCTTTGGATCCAGATCCAAAGCCTCAATACGAGAAGGGACCAAATGCTCATCCAATCAAGCCTCTAAAGGCTCTAGAAACCCCTAACTCCAAAGGTTAACACCAAAACTGAAGAAGGATCGAATTTATACCCCAAATATGAAGTCCATGGGCTCTGAAATCTATAGAATAGCACCCTCTTCAGCTCCCTCTTGCCTTGGTCACCTTCTTCTTGCAAGAACACCAACACAAGGATCAAAAATGGCCTCTCCTCCCTCACAAATGTTCTAGCTCTCTTAGGGTTTCTCTCAAGGGTCTGGTAGCCTCAACTGAAGGGTATGAGGGCCTTTAAATAGATCCCAAACTCAAGAAATTAGGGTTTCACTTAACAGCGTGGACTCACCGAATCCACGAGTCGACCCGTCGAGTCCGGTCACCAATCCGAATAAGAAACCATAGTCCTACTCGGCGAGTCTAAGCATCAACTCGCCGAGTTCCTCCCCAAACTCAAAATAAATGAATAAAATAGTATACCTGGAAATCCGGATGTTACACATAACATCACAACACCTATCAAGCTCAAAAAATGCCTTGCACCATGTCTTTGGGTCTCTTTCCATTAGGTGATCATAAGCATGTATAGACATCGCATTGATTTCCCTCATATAAGATCGGAAAGCTGACTCGGTTGTGGACTTTGCAGCTCTTTAGAATAACTTCCTAAACTCAACACCTGTGTATTTTTTTCTTAAAGTTAGCATAGATGTGTCTAGCACATTGCCTACATGCTGGTGCTTCTTCTTTAACAGCTTCTACCAAACCCTGCCAGATGAAAATATTAACATTAAATATAAAATAACATATAAATAAACATATAAAGCACTAAGTTATGTATTTATAAGAAAAACCTTATGCTGGTCAAAAAGAATGTCATGAAGTAGCACTAAGACCTCTGCCGTCTCCCATCTTAATGTCATGAAGTAGCAGATCTAAGAACCATTTCCAGGTTTCCTTATTTTCTACTGACACTACTACCCATGCCATCAGGTACAGTTGTTGGAGTCCCTACCAATAGTTGCTAATAACTCACCTCTGCAAATACCCTTCAAAAAACACCCATCAACACCAATCACCATCCTGCATCCTTCAATCCAACCATCTTTCACCCTTTAGGAAAACATAGATTCTTTTAAAGTAAGCTGTAGAATCGGGCATAGGATTCACCTCTATTGAGGCTGTTGAACCCGGATTAGAACTCAATAACTTTGCACCATAATCCCACAACTTTTCATAGTGTCCCACTAAGCTACCTGAAATTTCATCTAGTGCAAAACTCTTGGCATTTGTACATTATCCAACACTTACATGCACACCAAAATTTTTCTTAACTAATGCTACCATGTTCCTGTAGCTGATGTGGGGCTTTTCTAAAATGTCATTGGTTAACATTTTACCAATCCACATGTATGTTACAATAGACCCCAAATTAACTTGTCTGCAACAATTATGTTCATCAATTAGTGATTTGATCTGGAATGAATTTTCATTACTCATTGGAGTAGCCCATGGTCTAAAAGGGCAAGTTGCCTTCCCTTCTTTATTTTTACAGCACCTCACTAACAATCTAGTTGAGTCATTTTTTTCGTACCACAATGCATAACCTTTAAAGACAACATAATTTGTTAACATTTGCTTGAGTTCATATCTGTCAGAGAATATCATGCCTGAAACAAGTACCATTGTGTCCCATTTTCTGGTCGGGGATCATGAATTCAAGTGGTGGACCTCATCACCAACTTCCTTATCTATCCCTCCTTCTGGAATAAGATTTTTCTTAGATAAAAAGGATCAACATATTTACGAATTTCTATAACCTCATCATCAACTTCATGGTCTACCGATATATCATCTGACATGACCGAGTCCACATTATCAGAACATGGATCACTATCACCATACACTCCACCTTCGGCTATCTCTTCTTCAATCCATTGCATAAGTGGCTCATGGTCATGATCAATGTAGATGCTGATTCTTCTCCTATTTTTATATCCAACATCAAGAAACCTCACATAATCATCTTCATCTCTCAGCTCCCTCAACCCATCTACTATGGACCGATTTGGAAGATAATAGTACATATCACGACATATACCTTTCGTCAAGTTACAAATGTAGATAATGAAGTCCTTAAACTCCATGTTTCGTAAGTCTACCTCTGTGACAAAAGTCTTATCGGGATTGAAGTACATGAAGGGCTTAGGAACAAACACTCCTTTATGGTAAACATCTATACTCAATGCACCATCTGTTGAGAACAACATTCTTGTTTTAACGGCCAAAGTCAACTACAAAAGTCATTGTTAATGATTAGCAAGTCACATGATCACATAAGACAAATAAAGGTTGAACATATGACTAATTAAAACAATAACATTTCCAAGAACGTTCAACAAAGTTCAAAACTATGAGGATTGATTTAGGGTTTGTTATCCCTGATTTAGGGTCTGTTACCCCTGATTTAGGGACTGTTATCCATGAGAATAAGTGATGGTCTGATTTTTATCAATTGACGATGAGTCTAGAAACCTCCATTCTAAATCCAACGTTTGATTGATTTAGCGGAGCTGGGGTATTGAAGCCAGTGTTTGAAGCACAAAAAGAGAACGATTGTTTGCTAAAAGAGGGAATGTTAAGAGTATAACTTACATGAACATATCCGAGTTCAGAATTTCTTGAAGGATATTTGATCGATCGAACCCTAGAAGAAACGCCTTCCCAATCTTCCTGTTGTTGACGAGAAGGGTAAAATCCACATATGACTATATTAAACGATCGTATACTCCATGTCATTTCATTTTTTCTTTTTATTTTTTTACACGGGCGAATAAGAGAGGTAACCTACACCTGCCGGTTACCATAAGTAACATTTGAACAAACGGTATATTTTGTTGGTGTTTTTTATACAACCTTATTTATATTTTTTAAACAACCAAAAACCAAAACTAAGATGATCTTTTTTTAAACATCTCTGAAACTTTCATACTCTTATAATAACTCATTTTCCTTCTTACAATTTTAAATGATTATTTTCGAATCATTGTCTCAGTTTTTTCACAAATGAAAGTAAATCGAGTTCAGTACCCTTTAACCTGATAAAACCTTACGCTTCAAAGTCAAAACACACAGTGTTTACACTTCGGACTCCATCAACGCCTCGGGTGTCTGCCCTCACGTCGACTCCTCCCCTGCTCGCCACCTTATGCCATCGCCTCCCCTGTGAAGCCACCGGCCGGAGACCTTCGAACACCCACAGCTACAGGTTCGAAAATTTTCCCTTTTTCTGCTTTCGTGCTTCCTTTTTTTTTTTTTTTTTTCTTTTGAAATCGACAATAATGATACCAATTTCAAGGTTATCAATGTTGTTCGTGATGATGCCTTTTTCTTATTTTGGTTGTTCGTTTACAGAACTCGTGTTTCTTGCTCATGTTTCTAATTGTTTGCTGTTTGGGCTCATCGATTGATGTCAATAATCCATGTTCGTCTAGATTTCTCAGATTATGAAGTGCGTTGATTTGTTCAGTCTTATGGCTTGGATTTCTTAGGAACCAAAGTTTTGATTATGAAAAAGTGGTCAAAGTTAATAGAAGGATAGAAATCAGACCCTTAGAATAACCAAAGGGTTAGAAATCAGATTGCAAGCAAGTTGTTTGATCATTTACTTTGTTTATATGCATGTTTTCACTGATCAATTACATGTTTCAACTTTTAACTTTTGGATTTTGATTTTAAATAAGCATAGTGAAAGCTTCCCTGCTAACATCCAAATACATCTCCTGCTTCAGGGTGGAGATACCAGTTGTGGACGATAATTATATTCACAAAACCAGTTGTTGAGGATGATGATTCCGGAAGGAGAGGAAGGTGGTGGGTTTTCTGAACTAAAGGGGTACTGCTTGGAACTGCTGGGACTCCTCAGAAACCCTAACAACAACAACAACAAAGGCAGCATCTCTCATCTTCTTCACTTCATAAGGCGTTCTCCTCCTCATGCCCTCCAGCCTTTCTTGGAGTATGTTTTGATTTCTACTTCTGCTGTGTTTTTTCAGTCCTTGCTTATTTCTCTTTAAAATCATTAATTTTTGAATCTCATATAAAGTTTACGTTACATAAATCTTATGCCATTGAGGTGAACAGGAGTTTCCTTTCATATTTTAATATCACCAGTTATTTTTTACTCAAATAACTGTTGATTTCCCTCCCAAGTACACTGGTTGTGTGTAAGGTTCATACAGTAACAGTTTGTGTTATCTTTTCAGCTATACTTTGCTTCCCCTGCTGCTTCTGTTGGAAGCTGCAGTAAACTGCAGATCTCCACTGGCATTAAATGACAAGTTAAAAGAAAAGCCTCCTAAAATAAGTGATGTCGTGGCAGAAGACGTGCTTCAATGTTTGGAGGAGCTTCTAATCAAGTGTCATCTAGGATCTGTGGAACAGGTGTCATGAAGTTTAACCTTCTGCTTACGTTTTCTTATTCCAATACATACCTCAAGAAATTTTGTTCAAGTATACTTGTATTGTTTTTGCAGATGGTTGTAGCATTGAAAAATTTGACAAATGCAGCGTTGCTCTCACCATCTGAGGCATCCGAGGAGTTTCGTGAAGGAGTTATTAGGTGTTTTAAGGCAATGCTTCTTGGTTCATGTTTGTGCTCCAACAATTCTTGCAATTGCAACCAAATAAATGTCCTGCCTCTGCCTCTGCCTTTGCTTTTAGAGAAGAGATCATTCATGGAAGCAAACCCCAAGGAATGTTTACTTGCATTCCTTCGTTCTCAGTCTGCAATTGTCACTGTTGGACACTGGCTGTCACTTTTATTGAAAGTAGGTACTTATATTTCTTCTGTTGCCAATTTATAGATTTGAAACTTAATCTTGGATTTGGATGTTTTTGCATAGGCTGCAGATGCTGAGGCAGGGCGTGGCCATGTAGGCAGTTCTAAGCTTCGTGTAGAAGCCTTCATGACTCTTCGCATTCTTGTTGCTAAGGTAGGTAAGTTATAAGCAAGCACAAGATTTTGTTTGGTTGGGTAATTGCATTCCAAATAATACGAATCTTTTCAAGAAGAAAACAATCATACTGAAAAGAAGCTTGTTAAGGCTATTGTTACCTATATATTCATACACCAAATGCTTCTTTGAAAACACACAACAAATTACCCTAACAAGTTCAGAACATTTCGCCAATAATTTGGTCTGTAACTTTGAGAGCCAACTTCCCTTACAGTAATTAAATATTTATCTATACTAAGAGTCATTGAAGCTAGATTTGAATTTGGATAACTACCTACAATTAAAGATTGAATATATGCTTTGCAGGTTGGTACAGCTGATGAACTAGCTTTCTTTTTACCTGGTGTTGTTAGCCAAATTGGAAAAGTTCTGCATGTCTCAAAAACAATGATTTCTGGGGCTGCTGGAAGTATAGAAGCTATGGACCAAGCACTTAGAGGTTTGACCGAGTTTCTCATCATAGTTCTTCAAGACGATGCGAATTTATCAAGTCTTGTTGATGATGACATTGATATAAATACGAATAAGTCTCCACTATCATTTCTAGAGGAGCTTCGCCGTTTTCCTGGGAAAAAGCAAGATCAGGGTCAAATTGTAGCAATAAAGTCAACAACCCAAGAGGTGATGGTCAATAGTAATACTAATACTCCATCGCAATCTGGCTTCAAAGGGAATGGACATACGAAATCTTTGTATGTGGAACGTACAAAAGATTGGATTGCTGCAACTTCTTCTCATGTGAATAAGTTATTGTCCTCGGCATTTCCACACGTAAGTTCAGATATGACTATTTAATGGCTTGGCTGTCAACTTCTTTCAAAATGTTTGACTTCATATATATATATTTATGTTATTTTTAGCTATGTGTTCATCCAGCCAAGAAGGTGAGACTTGGGACCATGGCTGCTATACAGGGACTCTTGTTAACATGCAGTCGCACACTGAAGGGCAGCAGGCTAATGCTTCTGGTGAGATTAAAAAATCATCATCATCATCATTATTATTAGTTCTTATCTATGTATGTGACTATGTGTAGTTCTCAAATATCTTGTAAAATGCAGGAATGCTTATGTGCTTTAGTTTCTGATGAAGATGAAGAGGTGTCATCAGCTGCACAGATGTTTCTTGGAGATTTATTCTCATCAAATGGGAAGCATCACATTGAACGTGATCTTGTTGATATATTTAAAAGGTCCTTCCTTGTTCTATTTTGTTTCGATGATATAAATAATTTATCTCAAGAAATGTAATAATGACATTTAACATATATAACATAACAGGCTCTTTGAAAAGCTTCCGGAGGTGATGATTGGAGGGGAGCAGTCCCATTCACATTGCCAAAAATTGCTTGTATTGATTTACTATTCCGGTCCCCAACTTGTTAGAGATCATCTTCTCCAATCTCCTGTACGTTTTTAACATCTTTTATAAATATATCAAGGCTTTATGACATGACTAATGACTTAGGCCCCATTTTTTTTTCTTTTTCTTTTTTCACATTAACTGTTGTATGGGTAAATGATGTCTAAGTGTTGCATACGGTAAATCGGTTTCTCTTTTCAACTGAATGAAGTGTCTGGATGTTAAGTAATGACTGATTTACCCTTCTACTTAAAATAAATAACAAATGAATTTATATTTAAAAGCTGTTATAACTTATAATAAAAATTATTGATCACTGTAGTATAAATAATGATACAAATATGGTTGGTTTTAATTATTTAAACTGATCATAATATTAATAATATATAAACCATAGCATATTTGGCTTTGAGTATTTTCAGAATCAAAGTGAAGTGATTCTTAAAAAATTACTTGATAATCTTTGATCGATCTAGCAGAAGGATTTGATCATTCTTCAAGTTATCACTGTGAAGCCATTCCATAGCTTTAATTTTCCTTTAAGTTATTAAGCTTTGAAGCATAGCATACCCATTATTAAAAACTCAGATTCATAAATATTATTAGGAAATACAAAATACAAAATATCTCAAATATAAAGACATTTAAATGTATTTTACGAGTATTGTATCTTTTTAAATCTTCTATTAAATTATATATATATATATATATATATATATATATATATATATATATATATATATATATATATTCAAAAGACATAAAATGCTACTTTTATATTTAATGGCTTAGCTTTAGGGCTAGGTGAAATATCTATTCCAAGAGAATGTGATGGCTAACATATTAGGTCTCTATTAAGTAAAAAAGAAACAGCAGTCTAGTCTAATTAATATCTTGCGTCTGAATGATGATGATGATGATGATATATATATATATATATATATATATATATATATATATATATATATATATATATATTATAGGTGACAGCTGCTCGGTTCTTTGATACCCTCACCCTTTGTTTGAGCCAGAATTCGGTATTTTCTGGCTCTTTGGACAAGCTGCTTTTAGAGAGATCATCATCATCATCATCATCATCAGTTGGGTACTTGCGGTCTATAACTGAGATGAAAGCTACCAGTTTCTTTTCAAATGAGAAAAAGGAGCCTAATTATGAAGATCCCAACAACTCTTTCAAGATACAAAATGAATATGATCTTCCACGTATGCCACCTTGGTTTTCTTCTTCGGGCACTCAGAAACAACTTTATCATGCACTCGCAGGGATCCTAAGACTTGCTAGCTTCTCTCTTATTGCAGGTTATCCTTCACATACTTTTCTTTTCTTACAACTTGTTTCCTTTTGATTCAGTAGCTTTTCTTTTTCACTTGACAGGTTAAGCCAAAAGAAACAACCACTGCTCCTTAAACTAAACTTTTTTTTTCTTCAGGTTCTCAAAGTAGGGGGAACTTATCGATTATCAAAGATATTCCACTGAGCTACTTGCGTAAATTGATTGCTGATGTTCGAAACAAGGAATACATAAAAGAGAGCTGGGAGTGTTGGTATAAAAGGCCTAATTCAGGGAAGCTAGTAAGACAAGCTACTACTGCTGCATGCATCTTGAACGAGATGATGTTTGGTTTATCCGATGAAGCTATTCATAATTTGAAAACAAAGTTTCACAAATCCAGCAGCTCAGAGAGCTTAAAAGATGATGTGGGTGGTTGGAATGTTTCTCTAACAAAGGATACAAGGAGTCAGTTAATCGAGTGCATCGGTTCTATTTTGCATGAGTATCTATCTCCTGAAATATGGAATCTTCCATTACAGCAATCCGATGTTAATGTGCACTTTTTTCATGATAATGCAATGCTGCACCAGGTACAACAAGGCTGTTTCATATTGACTTATTTGTTAAGCCAACAAGCCTGCCTTAATGTGTTGAGACACTATTAGTATTTACCTTTTTTTTTTAATACTTATTTCTACATAGATATAAGAGTGAATTACTACTTTGGTTTAGTCCAAATTTTGTGTTTTGCTCAAAGTCGTCCCTTTGGTTTCATTTTGTTGCGTATTTGGTCCCTGTGTTGTTAAACTTAACAGCTCATCTCTTAGATTTTCTAAAATGAACATTGTGTTCTTGTCTCTTTCATCCACACAGGACTTAATAAGAAACAAGCCCTAATAAGTAGATTGTCCTTTCATCACCATATTTCATGTAAGTCATGATGTATGATTCTGAGTTTGATTCTAACAGGTTATAATTGATGGGATAGGCATATTTGATATGTGCCTTAAGAGTGATTTTGTGTCAAGTGGGTTTCTTCATTCGTCTCTTTATGTGTTACTGGAGAATCTCATCTGTTCAAACTTTCAAGTCAGGCGTGCATCAGATGCTGTCTTACATGTGATTTCAGCTACTTCTGGCTATCCAACGGTAACAACAGCCTCAAGTTGAATTTGAATGAGTTTGAGTTTGTTTTCCATGACCAACTTTTTATTTTTATTTTTATTTATTTATTATTATTATTTTTTTTTTTTGTAGGTTGGGCACATGGTTTTGGCAAATTCAGACTATGTAATCGACTCCATATGCAGGCAGCTTCGTCATCTGGATCTTAATCCTCATGTTCCAAGTGTTCTTGCTGCCATTCTGTCCTACATAGGTGTGGCCCACAAAATCTTACCCTTGATGGAGGAGCCAGTATGTTTACTCTCAAATGTTTTGTTTATTATGTCATCATCCATCTTTCTTTCTTGTGTTTAACCTAACAATAACATGAAAAATTTCCACAGATGCGTTGTATTTCAAAGGAACTTGAGATTCTTGGCAGGCATCACCACCCTCAGCTTACCATCTCCTTCTTGAGGGTAATAAGCATTGTAAAACATTCTGTTATCATGTTGGAATGGAATCAGTCATTCAAATATCATATGGTACAATTGCAAAAGTAAATGACATATAAAAAATTCTTATCTTTTAATAACTTGAATTCTAATATGAAAAAGTTTACTCATCACTTTAGAAAGTTGTTTACAAAAATAAAATTATAATAAAAAAGTTTGTATAGTTTTAGAATATTTTTACAAAAAGTAGTTTGTTTAATTGAAGGTTTGAAATATATTTAGTTATTTACTATTCAAATGATATAAATTATAATATAAGTATATCATTACATTCCATCAAGTGATGAAAAAAATAGCCCTCTACTCTATGGAAGCAATATTTTCATAATGAAAATTACTACTGTATAGGCGGTGGCAGAAATTGGAAAGGCTTCAAAGCTTGAGGCTTGTTCACTGGCCTCTGAAGCAGAGATATATAAGAAGGGCGAATGGGAGGAGATGTTTTTCAAATTGAAGGACTCCAAAAGCTACAGACAAACTGTCGGCTCTATTTCTAGTTCATGTATCACAGCTGCTACTCCTCTGCTTACTTCCATCAAGCAAACAGCATGTTTGGTAGCCTTGGAGATAGTCGAGGTAAAAAGTAAAACCATTAATCATTTCTTTTTAGTTTGTTTCCACTTGCAATATATTAAAAATATGTTTTCAGGATGGAATCATTGCACTTGCTGGAGTGGAAGAATCATATAGGCATGAGATGAAAACGAGAGAGCTCCTTATAGAAGCTTTACAATCAAATTCAATTCATGATCTTGCTGATACTCTCGAGGCAGAAAACGATGATGTAACTCAAGAAAACAGATTACTTCCAGCAATGAATAAAATCTGGCCCTTCCTGATTGCCTGTATACGAAATGGGAATCCACTGGTAACTTATTTATTCTTTTCTTGCAACAAACCAGACACTTGTCAGCATCTGATTGGCTGGTATTTGGTAATCATACATACAGACGACCAGAAGGTGTGCTGGTGTGATCGGTAGAGTGGTGCAAATCTGTGGAGGCGATTTCTTTTCACGTAGATTCCATACCGATGGGCCCCACTTGTGGAAACTTTTAAGTGCATCCCCATTTGAGAAAAAGCCCATGAATTTTAAATCTAAAGAATCAAGACTTGTACAACTTCCATACAGAAGGGGTGATGATGATGATGATGATCCAAGGGCTGAGATTTCAGATTTGAAGGTCCAGGTGGCGGTGCTGGAGATGATAGCTGAGATATCCGGGAACAGAAAGAGTGCTTCGGCATTGGAATCTGTGATTAAGAAGGTGAGTGGGGTTGTGGTGGGGATTGCATGTAGTGGTGTTGTTGGGCTTCTTGATGCATCTGTGAATGCTCTTAGAGGACTTGCCTCGATTGATTCTGATCTTATTTGGCTCCTTTTGGCTGACGTTTATTACTCTAAAAAGAGGGAAATTTTTTCGGCACCTGTTTCTGTAGCTGCGGATTTACCCGAGGTTTTGCCACCACCTTTGTCTTCCAACTCCTATCTTTATGTTCAATATGGTGGCCAGACCTATGGTTTTCACATTGATTTTTCTGCTGTAGAATTTGTTTTCAAGAAATTGTACTCGTAAGATTTCAGCGTCTTTTCAGCTGTTTAAAAGTATTATCCCATGTAAATAACAACTAATTCATTCATAGATACAGGTTATGCCAAAATTGATAGCCATTTTTTTTTTTTTTTTTGGATTTTGTATTTAGTAAGCTAGTAAATTATAAGACAATTGCAAAAGTGATCCGGATAGTCTTGTTTTCTTTTGATATGCTTCAAACCTTTTCAGGATTGTAGATATGGCGTTTTTCTTGATTTGCTGTTTGACAAAAACTAAAAACTTTAATTTAGAAAAAGTTTAATGAATGGTCGTTTAGCTTTATATTTTTTTCTCAAAATTGGTCCCTAAGAAACTTTTTCCTTGAGATGGTTTTTACGGATCAAATCTTACATACAAATGGTTTTTACTGTGGATGTCGGTTGGATGAATTAGAATTTTGGATAAGAACTATTTATGTTATTTTGTAAAACTTGTTTAAGAATTATTTGTGAAATTTTACACCAATACCATTTGAAATATTACAATGTTGCTCTTGCGGTTTTCTCTTTTTATATTTCTGGCTTTTTTTTTTTCATAATTTTGTTATTTTATATATATATATATATATATATATATATATATATATATATATATATATATATATATATATATATATAACTTTTGTTATCTAGACTTCATCTACAATATTCAAACTTCAATACATAACTAAATATTTTAATTTCTATTTCTTATTTGAAATATAAAATCATTTTATTACTTTTTAATTTTTATATGATGTAATTTTTAAGACTTATCTTTATTTATCTTATACAAATATATTTATTTTTATGAAAAAATATGATGTGTTATTATAAAAAAATTTATTATTACAGAAATAATAATATGTAGCTATTTTATTTTAAAAATATAAGTATGTGATTTTGAGTTAAAGATAAAAATATTTTTCGGTTTTGATTTTATAATATAAGTATAGTAAATTTTATACTGCTTTGATACAAAATTTTGATATTTAATTTAAAAAAATTATTTAGTTTTATCAAATTTTGAATATATATTCTTTAATAAGACAAACTTTTCAAAGCAAAATTAAAAACGTTTGTTAGCTAATAGTTAACTTCGCTGCTACACATGCTAAAATAATTAACCATATAAATAATATGATATTAAATTCCATTTAAATCATTTTATTTAATGGAGAATAAATTTTTTAACGAAATTAATGTCATTATTTTCGTTTAATTCTATTAATATGTCATTTATTCTGTTTAATTTATTTTATATAAATATATAAACTATTTTTATTGTCTATTAAATAAAATGAGTTAAATGGAATTAATATCATATTATTCATATGGTTAATTATCTTAGCATTTGTAGCATCATAGTTAAGTATTATATAATAGGGAAAACTGCAATAAAGTCCTTACATATTGGCTTCATAATCGATTTAGTCCCCATATTTACTTTTTATTCAATTAAGTCCCCAAAACTGGTAATCGTAATTCAATTTAACCATTTGACCCGGTCAACAGGTCATTCAACTTTCAAAAATTACATTTTTGCCCCAAATTTTAATTTTTTTTTTTACAAATTTGGTCGAAAATTTACACTTTTGGCACAAATTTTAATTTTTGTTACAAATTTAGTCCAAACATTACCCTTTTTTTTCCCAAATCTTAGAATTTTATTATAAATTCATCCCAACTTTAGTTTTTTTTACAACTTTTTTTCTCCATTTTTTTTCTAATGTGTTTTCTTTATAAAATTATATTGATAGTTTAATACAAAAAAACGTATTTTCACGTAAAAGTATTATATTTTCTATATAAAAACTTTTTTTAAAAAGTTTTTTGTATATGAAATATCTAGTTATAAAAATATATATTTATTAAGTATATATAGGTGTGTATCTACGTTTTTTTTACAAAATCGTGTTTGTTTTTTGTTTTTGTTTTTGTTTTTTTTTGTTTTTTTGTTTTTTTTTTTTTTTTTTTTTTTTATAAAAACGTGTTTGAATAATTTTTTATATAATATGTGTTTGTATACATTTTATAAAATCGTGTTTGTATACCTTTTATAAAAACGTGTTTAGATAATTTTTTATATAATATGTGTTTGTATATATTTTATAAAATCGTGTTTGTGTATATACATTTGATAAAATATATACCAACACGTATTATATAAAAAATTACTAAAATAAGTTTTTATAAAAAAATGTAAACAAAAGTGATTTTATAAAAAAAATAGATAAAATAGGTGTTTGTATACATTTTTTTTAAATACGGATTTGTATATATTTATATACTTATTAAATATTTATTTTTATAACTAGATATTCATATAAAAAAAGTTTTTATATAGAAAATATAAAATTTGTAAGTGAAAATATGTTTTTTTTTGTATAAGTATGATTTTATAAAGAAAAAACATATTAGAAAAAAATCTTTGAGAAAAAAAGTTGTAAAAAAAACTAAAGTTAGGATGAATTCATAATAAAATTCTAAAATTTGGGCAAAAGGGTAAAGTTTGGACCAAATTTGTAACAAAATTTAAATTTTGGGCCAAAAGTGTTAATTTTGGACCAAATTTGTAATAAATTTTGAAATCTGGGACAAAAATGTAATTTTTGAAACTTGGATGACCTGTTGACCGGGTCAAAGAGTTAAATTGAATACAATTACCGGTATTTGGGACTTAATTGAATAAAAAAAATATATAGGGACTAAATCGATTATGAGGCCAATATGTAGGGATTTTATTGCAGTTTTCCCTATATATATATATATATATATATATATATATATATATATATATATATATATATATATATATATATATATATATATATATATATATATATTATTTTGCTTTGAAAAATTTATGTCTTATTAATGAATATATTCAAAATTTAATAAAACTAAATAATTTTTTAAATTTAAATATCTAAATTTTATATCGAAACAATATAAAATTTATTTTACTTATATTATAAAATCGAAACCGAAATAAATTTTTATTTTTAACTCAAAACCACATACTTTTTTTTTTAAAATAAAATTGAAACATACTATTATTTATATAATAATGTGTTTTTGTAATAACACATCATGTTTTTTTTTTTTTCATAAAAATAAATATATTTGTAAAAGATAAATGAAGATAAATTTTAAAAATTACATCATATAAAAATTAAAAAGTAATAAAATGATGTTTTTACACTTCAAAATTTTTTAGATAAAAAACCAAAAACAAAAATATTTTATTATGTATTGTAGTTTAAATATTTTAGATAAAATCTAGACAACAAAAATTATATATATATATATATATATATATATATATATATATATATATATATATATATATATATATATATATATATATATAATAACAAAGATATGAAAAAAGAGGGCCGAAAAATGTAAAATAAAGAAAGTGAGACTAAAATTGTAATACTTCAAATGCTTATTGTGTAAAATTTAACAAATGGTCCTTAAACAAGTTAGTGCTTATTCAAAATTCTTTCAACTTAACGGATCAATCTAACAGACAACCACAGTAAGGACCATTTGTGTGTAATGTTTGCTCCATAGAGACCATCTCAAGAAAAAAAATTTCGCAACAAAGATATGAAAAAAGAGAGCCGAAAATGTAAAATAAAAAAAGTGAGACTAAAATTGTAATACTTCAAATGCTCATTGTGTAAAATTTAACAAATGACCCTTAAACAAGTTAGTACTTATCAAAAATTCTTTCAACTTAACAGATCAATCTAACGGACAACCACGGTAAGGACCACTTGTGTGCAATGTTTGCTCCATAGAGACCATCTCAAGAATTTTTTTTTCGTAACAAAGATATGAAAAAAGAGGGCCGAAAATGTAAAATAAAGAAAGTGAGAGACTAAAATTGTAATACTTCAAATGCTCATTGTGTAAAATTTAACAAATGATCCTTAAACAAGTTAGTGCTTATCCAAAATTCTTTCAACTTAATAGATCAATCTAACGGACAACCACGGTAAGGACCACTTGTGTACAAGGTTTTCTCCATAGAGACCATCTCAAGAAAAAAAATTCGTAAGGACCATTTTCAAAGAAATTTTTTTCGTAAGGGCCATTTGTGAAATTTTTTCTTTAATTTATTTAAAACAAAGCAGACAATATTTAACCATGTTCATAAAAAGACACACCTTTATACCCAAATATCCACATCTAGTATCCATATATAGCTACCAACCTTTTTTATGTTTTGAGGAAAGTGAAGTTCGATGAATAAGGAGGATTTTGAAGGATTTTTGTAGAATTAAGGATGAATTTTATGGATTTTCGAATGTTCCACGTGACATGTTATATTTTTAAGCTGATGGGTATGAGTTGATATTATAATACCAAAAAACTACGACCTAATATGCCATATTATTATTAACTATGACCTAATATGCCATATTATTATTGATGCTGTAACATCATTGTAGGAAATGATCACAATACCTCTATACAAAATAATTTTAATGTTATCATTTTTTTGAATATTTTTTTTAATAATTATAAATATAAATTATATAACATTAAAAACATTATATATAAATTGAAAAAAAGATGTTACAAGCTGGAAAAATACATAATATTTTTCTTCCCTAAATACTCTGTTCATCATCATTGTTACTGTCATGGGTGAAAATTCTGACTATAATCTTATGTAGGATTCAGAGTAGCATGCCACCCGAGATCTTAACCAACATCATGATCAAGATTCCAAAGATTATTAATCCACACGTTTGCTCTTTATTTGTTTACCTCTTTGTTATAAGTCTTGAATATGTCAAGGAAGACCTAGTCAAAACGGAATTACTAAAGAAAACACGTGTTTTGGTCTGCAGAGATTCTAAGATAAAGGAGACCTGATCATTAAGGATTTTGGGGAAGAAGATTAGTCCAAGATTTTAGGAATCCGGATTATAGTCATTAGGAACTCTTGTTAACTAGGCAACTAGTGTCTCAAAATCACACACAAAC